TTTCAAATTTCAAAGCAGGACTAGAATAAGATAACATGATGAAGTCAGGGCCTTGGCCTTCGAGGGCCTCTTGCCAGCTGACACAAAATGTCCCGAGGCTTCGTCTGCTGCCCGGGACGCAGGCCACACCTCAGCTGCTAGTCAAGGCTGCCCACGGTGGCTCAGAAGTGTCTCTCCAAGAGCTTCCTGCCTTGCCCTGCTGGACTACAGGCTCATGGGCCCTGCTTTCCCAGCTCAGCTCCACAGGGCCAGCCGGAAGCACCTTCTTCACTTAGGAGGGAGCACATCCTGTTCATAAGTGGTGTGAGGTGCAGACAGATACCCATGCTGCACCCGGCCCGATCTCACCAGGGTTGATCTAAACCCAGGTTCATTCTTGGCCAACTGCTCAGCAGCCAAGGAGGCTGCTGCTGTGAGCACATTTCCCAGGTGACAATGGCTCAAAGGTCAGGAGATCCTGGGGTCTGATAATGCCTTCCCCTATTTGCTGGTCAGACATCTGTTATTAATCCACAGTCAAGAACACGTGCTTTGGAGTCTGATAAGCCAAGGGTCTAGTCCTCGTCCTGAACTTCACTGTGTGATCCTAAGTGAATTGTTAAACCTCGAAGGGTTGTTGCAAGGAAGGGGCTGATGTAATATACAAAGCCCAGAGCATGCTGCCACATGGCATTAAGTAATTGCTGCAATGACATTAAAGGTAGAATAACGGATGGCTGGCCAAGGGACGCCAGATGGGGAGGATTAAGAAACTGACATCAGAGGATAATGTTCAAGAACTCAGTCCTTTCAATCTGCATAATATGACCCAGCCTGTGCACGGAGGCTGAGCTGCTTTCCACGGAAGACAGAGCCCTTGATTCCACAGGACCCGGCACAGATTTACAAGTCATCAGAGCCCAAGCATCTTTGCTTCCCTGTGATGTGGGAAGGTTCTCAGAGTAGGAAAGGGTGCCATGTCACATGTTCACCCAGAGCTTGCTTCAATGGGCCCAGAAGGTGGTGTGTCGCAGAAAAACCACAAGGAGAAGGTGTCTGAGCACGAATGGTGGGGTGTGACTATTTCTGCCTTCCTAGACTGGTCTCAGTGGGTGTGCAGGACAGACACTATCCTAGATTTGCAGTGACTTTTTAGACCAACTGCTGGCAGGTGATGGAACGCTGCTGAGTTGCGACTGCATTATTGGAAGGACAGACTGGGCCATAGCCACACGTCATGGGTTCGAAATGTAACTCCACCACTTTCTAGCTGTGAGCATTTGGGCAAATAACCTCAGGTCTCGAGTCTCAGATTTCTTAGCTGAAAGATGGGGATAATAACAGTTCCTGCCTTATGGGCTGTTGTGAGGATGAACTGAGTTAAAATATGTCAAGTCCAGAACAAGCACTTGATAGATGTTGGCTTTGGCCACTATTATTTTATCCGTTGCTCCCTGAGGCCTCTGACCTTTTTCTGGCCCCTGACCGGGGTGTATTTCTCTAAGATGTTCACAAAGGAGTATGAAATGGAACAAGTACCAATGGTGCGGATTTTGCAGAATCCTAATGATGCAGAACCATAAGCCGGGGCTGAACCTGCAGATGAAAGGGGCATCTGCAGAGATGGGGATTGTTCTCTGCTTGCCTTGTGTTGCGTCTGGAATTTTTCCAGCAGCCTTTTCAATCATGAAAGAGCACAACTGATCTGAAACCTACCTGAGGCCCGAAGGCTGGTCTGGGAAGTGCTGGCCTGACAATGGCTTTGTTGCCTGCCTGAGATGCACATCGACCCGCCACCCGCATGCTGTGGGCCCTTCATCTACCATGGAGGCTTTGACGTGGCTTTGATGCCGTCCAACTACACCAGTTCAAGGCACTGATGCTCAAACTGGGGCCCGGGAGCATCAGGCACCTGCCTCCACACCCGGGACACACCAGTTTGACAGAAAAAATGAAAACACAGGGCATTTTGTTTGGAGGCCACACAGCTGGAGGTGAGATGAGCTGTGAAGCTCTGTAAGGGGATAGCAGACACATCAAAAGGTAAACACACTGGAAAAAACCACACACACCTCCCACTGACAATAACTGGAGGCTAGAGCAGAGAGTGCTGGGCTTGAAGTTTTACAAGGGGCTGCAATTCTTGGTTATTTTTTCAGGTGACTTGGTTATTTTTCAAAGCCTGTTCATGCAGCTATGACATGCCAACCCACAGGAATAGATGTGAAAGGATGGTATTTCAGGCACCGTACCCAAGCACCAGGGGACAAAGTGGGTGTTTAAGAATGCCTTCCTGGCTGTTCTCAAACCATGGCATCTGAATATAAAACAGACGAAACAAGCGAAGACCCCTATTCTCCTCCTGGGGTGGGCTCTATGATCAACCAAACCACATTTACTCTTTTTTTTTTCAAGATAAAATGGTGACTTAAGTCATTATTCTGAAAATGCTTGAACTATATTGACAACTAGAAATGCAAAAGCAAGCCAGGGCAGAATAAAATATCGTCAGAATTTGAATTAGGCTATAGGAAACCTAGAGCTCAAATATAGCTATGTAAACAGGCTTCAAAATAAACATGATAAAAAGAATTCTACATATCACAATGTGATATAAACACTGTCCTCTTTTCAACTCATCTGCCCTTTGCTGAAATAAACGACATTGGTGTCATCTTCAGGTTCATTGTTAAATTTTACATGGAGAAGAATGGAGTGTTGACATGTAACACAAACTTCATCTCATGTGCACCGTGGCTTCTCATTTCTTAACCCACGGGTACCATCTCTTTGCTTCCCGAAGTCACAGTTGTCAACATGATAGCTCAACTACAAACAGTAAGATGCTTCTCAAGAAATAACCCTTTACTTATGGAGTTCTGTGATGAAATACAGATGACTATCTAGAATCACTAGTCTGTCAATATCAATGGATTGACTGGTGAATACGCTAGCCAATCCAGTATGAGAAAAGAGTCATTTGGTTTCTCAGGAGAGTTAATAAAATATTTCAGAACTTGGAGAGCTTTAGCATGTTGCACTTGCTAAGACATTTGGTAAATTCTTGTCTGAACTCCCTTCCAAAGAATTGCATCCCACCTTATTTTTCTAAGTGGAACAAATAAAATATTTCTCAATGATCTAAGATATAGGTCTGCTTAATTTTCACTTGCACATGAGTCTTGGAAAATTGTGATGACTTAATCCAGCACTGTGGGAACAGGATATACAGTGAATGTTTTCATGTTCTGGGCCTTTGGGATCCCTAAAGGAATGATCCCATCCAAACCTGAAAGTGGCTTATAAGTCAACATGGACTCTCAAAAGTAGGTACTATGCTAACCTTTGGACTTATATAGATTAACAATAGCTTTCCCTCAAAAAGTAAAAATGTTTAAGTAAGTAACTTTTGTAAGAAGAGCTTTATACTGTATCACAGTTTTCAAAGCCTAGAGATAGTCTTGTGTTTTTTAAAAATCAAACCATAGATTAAGAAAAAAAAAAACTTTTAGATTTGAAATATAGATTCCCAGGATATCACAAAAAATAGTAAACAGAGTCCTGTGTCCCCTGTCCCCAGGGTCCCATAAGTGGTACATCTTACATAGTCATAGTACAATAGCTAAACAAGGAAGCTTGTAACATAGTTACAATGTTGTTAAATACAGTATACTCTTTATTTAATTTTAACCAGACCCTCAATTTTTAAGAAGGAAAAAACCTCACAAAATATCAGAAAATTATTCCTGTACTCTTACATTTTAACATTCATTAAAAATGAATAACAAATACTTTCTTCAGGAAAAAAAAGATGCCACAGTTGAGGCTCTGTGCAATAGTTACACTTTCTCAGTGCAAATTACAGTTAAAGACGTCTAAGGATGGGTATTTTGTTTTTAAATTTATATTGTATTTTAAAGATGTGTGGTACAATTCAGGATTAGGTATACAAGTGGACATCATACAGGCAAAGTTTGGGCCTCCCGTTGGTCCTCAACGGTCCCCACTACTTTGCCTGGTTTGGGATCAGGTGGCATGGGTATTTCTAGCCCAGCCATTGTAGCCTCCCAGAGAGCTCTTCACAGCTTCACACCCAGTAGAGTGGGTGAATGGTGGGTGAGGGGTGATGGGGAGACCCAGGCATTGCTCTCAACATCCTTCGGGGACACTGATCCTATGGGATGTAGAGCTTAGATTCCCAAACCTCGCAGGTGAGGCTGGAGTGAAGGCCTGGGAGCAGGTATACTTCTTCACTTGGAAAACCACCCTCTCCTTTAGCAAGAACAACAGAAAAGCCACCACAACTCCTTCTCAGCATCAGCTCCCTGAGACGACCATGGAAGCGTTTTTGTATCCATTCTGGCATTCACATGATGGCTTTTTTGGGGCATCTACACCACTTTGAAATCTACTTATTTCTGATTTTAATATTACTTGTGCTTTAATTGCAAATTCTAATAATTAATGAATAATACTTCCCCTATGACAACAATCTAAATGCTTATCACGACAGCCCAGAAAAAGTCTGCCCTGCCATTTTAACAAGTGTCAGAATAAATTTTTTTAAACATCCTTTGTAACATAAATGCAGAGACCCTCCATACCATGAAGACACACCAGACACACAAAGACAGATGAACCTTCATGCCCCTTTGAGTCTTGGCCCCCAGTGGAAGGCCCTCAGAGGGGAGTAGAGAAGGGATACAGAAGCCCTTTGAGGCTGGCTTCTCAAATACATCCAGTCTTGGGCTCCATTTAGAACATTTCAGAAAATGGTCTGGGTAGCCTTAGGTTGACCCTCCAGACTTAACACTTGTGAAAGGTTTGTGGAATTTTCTGGCTGGGGTCCTCTGACCTTGACTTTCATCACACTGATGGTCAGCATGGACCATCCTGAACAGCTAGGACATGACTTACCTCTCTGTCTCTGAATATGAAAATGTGGGCTGGATGATCTTATAAAGGATTTCTGCTTCCTTTCTGCCAAGCCTCAAAAAGATTTAAGGAAAAAAAGAACTTACTTTTTTTATCTGTTGTATTGTGCACTGTCACCGTAGGAACACCAGGACCTGTGTTGGGCAGAGAAGAAAAATCAGGAAAGAAACAAAAAATGAGGCCATTAGTTAAGTTGAGAACAGAAAAAGAAGATGACAAGCTGTCCTTACAACATGTAGATTTGTGGAGTCTGGAGAGTCTGATTTCAATGAAGGGATGGCAGAGGCCAGGCCAACAGGGGAGTGAAAAGTACAGCTCTCTAACTGTGCACCCATGTTAATTACAATGAACCCAAATCAAGGCATGTGTTTTTAGGTTACTGTAATGACATAAAACATAATTTTATGGAGCATTACATTTGGTTTATATCTGTATAACCTCATTTTTATATGCAGACACAAATTCATGATGGCTTTACTGAGTTCTGATATATAAGTCAAGCCTCAGTGCTAAGTCAGGTTTTTAAAAGATGTCTTCACTGGCTCCTCCAGGAAGCTATTCCCTCCACTGATCTCTCATAACATCTTGCAAAAAAAAAAACAAAAAACAAAAAACTTATTAATGTAGCAGGAATATTTTGAAAATGTTAAACCATGTTTCACTTTTCCTTTAAATCACCAGCATGCAGTTCCTCAGCTCCAGGAATGTCATAGTCCTGTGAATAGTGAGAAAGAAGGTACAACTCAAGATAAAGTGGCCCCTGGACAGTTTTCTGTGTAGGTTGATCTCTCTGTTCTTTTCAGCAAAAAGAGAGTCAAGAAAGGGAAAAAAATGGATTTCTGAATTAGTTTCTATACCTTTTTGGAAATATATTAAGAGGCAGATCTGGTGACTTTTCCAACCTCATCTCTGCTGCTCTCGTACTCATTCTATTCCAGCTAGCTGACCTTCCTGCAGGGTCTGAAGAATGCTAAGCTTGTGCCCACTGATCCCATTGTTCTTTCTGCCCACAATTCTCTGCTCCCAAATATTGCCATGACTTGTCTTTCTCTTCATTTACATTTCTGCTCAGTCAACCAATCTAAAAGAAAACCCCTCCATGACAGTGTGTCCAGCTTCAATCTCCTCACTCAGCTTCCCTTTTCTTTATAGAGTTGATTTCCACATACTATAATGTCAGGACTTTATAATATGGAATTATCAATGTATTTTCTTCTTGTCTTTCTCCTCACATATTGTGCTAGGATATAAGCTACATGACAATCAAGAATTTTGTCTAATTCCCTGCTGTTATTTTCTGCATCTAGAATGCTGTTTTGAATAGAGTTGAAATGACATATTTGTGGAATAAATGTGGAATGAGCACTCACAACATACAGGCCAGGCCAGGGAAGTCTGCCCCTTTTGACTAGGGTAGACTGTGGGAGACTGGAGGGAGAAGGAGGAAGGAGGAGGCAGGTGGTCAGAGGAAGACAGATCTGCTGTGAGAACACTGTGGCCAGGACAGCTGCCTATGTTCTGCTTCAGGCTGGGGACTCTGGGAAGCTATGAACTCACAGGGGTAGCTACATCAAAGCTGGAGGACACATACTATTTGGGTAGAAGAATGGTTGGAATTTAGCATTCTTGGGGTCATCATTAGTACTTCTAACACACTTCCATGAGTCCATCTGACAAATGCCTGGGTAGAGAGATAGGGAATCCACTATGGTGAGGGCGTAAAGGTCCTACTACAGAGGCTGAAGAGCGGACATCTTAGTCCAGGACTCAAAGAAGAGTTCTCTACTCTTGGGAGGTGGAAGAGTCTGACCAGTGGACAATCACAGGTCCAGGTAAGTTGAAACACAGATTGCAGGCCATGCCAGCCATGGACATCATAGCAGAGGCTTGTTCGTTGCCAAGTACCTGGACCCAGATACCACCCATTGCACATCCCAAATCCAGAAGGTCCAGGGGCCCTTCCCCTCTAGGCTGTGTCTCTCCTCCATTCATCCACAGATAGAGCTACCAGATAATATCCAGGATGCCTGGTTACATGTGATTCTTGAATAAACAGTAAACATTTTCTTACTATGAATATATCCTATGAAGTATTTAGAACATGCTACTAAAAATTATTTGTGGTTGACCTAAAATTCAAATGTAACTGGGCATCTTTAATTTTTTCTTTGCTAAATGTGACACCCCCTAGCCAGGGAGGGAGCAGCAATCTGAGAGTCTACATATTCACACCAAAAGAGACAGCACTTACCAAAAGAGATTTAAATGTAGGTTTAAATTATTGAATCAAACTAAGTTTCTTGGCCCTAAAATCCATCCCTCCCCACCCACGGGATGCCCATGTGGAAGAACAGATCAGTTATTGAGAAATAAGACCCTACATTTCTTTTCTCTGAACATTTCAGGGTGAATAAATTTGCAGACAGAGTATATCCTATGTTCTTATTAATTATATAAGCAATTATTATTTATTTAGTGCCTGCTATGTAAAAGGCACTCTGTTAGATGTTTTAGATGAATAATTTCTAATCCAATTTTCACAGTAGCTTTGCAAAGTAGATTTTCTAACCATATTTTACAGAGGAAAAAAGCACAGGTTTAGAGAGCTTCAAGTTCTTTGTCTCATCCATACAGTAAAAAAATTACTGAACTTGAATTCGTTCCTTTTCATCTTTTAACTCATGAACTTAATACATGCTTCCAAAAAAATTCAAACATTAAAGAAAATAATAAAATGACAAGTGAAAGATCTGTTTTACCTACACTTCACAGAAGTAACTTAAATGTTTCTAAAATGTCCTAGAATGTTTATCTGTACACAATGTGGTCATATTTACACATAAGCAAATATTTTAAATGTATAGACAAAAATAACACAAAAAATATTTGCAGCTGGGCGTGGTGGCTCAGGTTGTAATCCCAGCACTTTGGGAGGCTGAGGTGAGAGGATTGCCTGAGCCCGTGGGTTCGAAACCAGCATGGGCAACTTGGTGAGACCTCGTCTCTACAATAAATCACACACAAAAAACCTAGCTGAATATGGTGGCGTGTGTCTGTAGTTCCAGCTACTTGGAAGGTTGAAGCAGAAGGCTCGCCTAAGTCCAGCTGGTGGAGGCTGTAGTGGCCATGAGCATGCTGCTGCACTCCAGCTTGGGTGACAAGAATAAGAGTCTAACTAAAAAAAAATATATATATATACACATATATATGTACATATATATATATATTTGCATGTACATCTAATTTTTAGGTTTTGGAAACTAAACAAAATTGAAAAGCTCTTAGCCAAACTAAATTTTAAAAAGAGATTGAAGACTCAAATAAATGAAATCAGAAATGACATAGAAATCATTACAACTGATAACACATAAGTACAAAGGATCATAAGAGACTACTGTGAACAATTATATGGCAACAGATTGGATAACCTAGAAGAAATGGATAAATTCCTGGAAACATAAACCTAAGCAAGAATGAATCATGAATAAACTGAAAATCTATATAGATCAATAGTGAGGAAGGAGATTGAATTAATAATAAAAAGTCTCCCATCAAAGAAAAGTGCAAGATCTTCCTTGCTGAATCCCACCAAACATTTAAAGAAGTACTGACACCAATTCTTCTCAAATTCTTCCAAAAAATAGAAGAGCAAATACTTCCAAACTCATTTTATGAGGGCAGCATTACCTTGACACCAAAGGCAAATGAAGACACTATAAGAAAAAAGACTTACATGCCAATATTCCTGATGAACATAGATGCAAAAATACTCAACAAAACACTAGCAAGCCATATTAAACAGTACATTAAAATAATCATTCACCATAATCATGTATAATTTATTTCTGGGATGCAAGGATAATTCAGTATACACAAATCAAAAAATGTGATTCACAATATTAACAGAATGAAGGACAAAAACCATATAATCATCACAATAGATGCAGAAAAGTATTTGATAAATGCTTTAAAATCTTTCATGATAAAAGCTCTCAACAAAATAGGCATAGAAGTCATGTTCCTCAACACAATAAAGGTCATATATGACAAACCCAAGCTAACATCACAATTAATGGTGAAGTTAATAGCTTTTCCTCTAAGATCAGAAACAAGGCAAGGATTTCCACTCTCACCATTTCTATTCATTATAGTACTGGAAGTCCTAGACAAAACAATCAGGCAAAATAAAGAAATAAAAGACTTTGAAATAGTAAAAGAAAATGTGAAGTTGTCTCTGTTTGCTATTGACATGGCTTTATATATAGAAAACACTAAAGAAGTCACCAAAAATTGTTAGAACTGAGAAACAAATTCAATAAAGCTATAAGTTACAAAATCAACATACAAAAATTAGTAAAGTTTCTATATACTAATGATGAATTATCTAAAAGTAATTAAAAATTATCCAATTTACATAAGATACTTAGGAGTGAATTAAGCAAAGAGGTGAAAGATCTATATATTGAAAACTATAAAACATTAATGAAAAAATTGAAGATGACATAAATAAATGGAAAGCAAGTCCTTGTTCATGGATTGGAAGACGTAATATTGTTCAAATATCCATACTACTCAAAGTGATCTATGGACTCAATGCAATCCCTATTAAAATTCCAATGTCATTCTTCACAGAAATAGAAAAAAGTAGATTTTTTTTCACAGAAAAATTCTAAAATTCATATAGAATAGCCAAAGCAATTGTGAGCACAAAGAACAAAGCAGGAGGTATCATACTGCTTAATCTCAAAATATATTATAAAGATGTAGTAATCAAAACAGCACGGTTGTGGAATAAAAACAGATACATCAAATAATGGAATAGAATAGAGAGCCCTGAAAGAAATCAGTGCATCTGAGGTCAATCTATTTTCACAAAGACACCAAGAACACACAGGGAAGGAAAGGACAGTCTCTGCAATAAAGAGTGCTGGGAAAGCTGAACGTCTACTTGCAGAAGAATAAAATTGGATTCTTATTCTATATACAGGAACTAAAAATGGATTCCATGCTTACAAGTAAGGCCTAAAACTGTAAAGCTACTCAAAGAAAGCAAAGGGGAAAAGTTCCATGACATTGGTTTGAAAATGATTTTTTAGATTTGATCCCAAAAGCATGGGCAACAAGAGCAAAACTAGACAAATACAATT